TTCTGTTAAAAACATTACTTAGCAAAAAAGAAATTTTTTTGTTAAAAAAGTGTGTTTTAAAATAGTTTTAGTTTTTGCGGTTTGTTGAAATTTATATATAATTAGATATATGGGGCTATGGAAGGGAAAAGGAAGGGGAGCAGTGGTGGACATCCCACCACCCACCCCACCCATTTGTTTAGTTGGATATTTTTTTAGTAGGTTTTTAGTTAAACTATATGGTGTAATTGACACGGCTTTTAAAGTGGGGAGGGGGGCCAACTCCCTAATTTCAAAAAAAACAACCTACATTTCTAAAAAAAAGGTCCTCAAAGCAATTAGTGGGGGAGGAGGCATAGCCCCCTATGGTGTCGACGGCCATGAAAGAGGGAGGTGAGACCCTTCTGTGAATGAATTTTTTGTTTATTTAGTTGGCAAAATATATCTTTATATCTATATATATCTTTCATTGAAAAAGATAAAAGTAAGCATAAATAGAGAGCGAAAACGCTAAGGCTTTAAATGTCTTTAAAGTTCATCTATACGCTATAGAAAACCTAGCCTTGGTACATATTTAATAACATAAATATATATAACCTTAACCATTATTATGTATAAATGTATATATGTATATATATATATATATATATATATATATATATATATATATATATATATATATATATATATATATATATTGTAAATATCGTTAAAATACACGATATTTTATTTAAAATTTTGTTATAGATTTTAATATTAGGTTTTTATCATTAAAAATATTTTTGTAATAAATTGTTAAAATTTTTTTGTTATATTAAAAACTTTTTTAAAAATGTTATTAACTCGTTTTGCACATTTCACTAAGCAAAATCATGCGCACATTAACAATAACGTTCTACAAAGCTACCGTTAGCCGAACGCGAGTTTTTTACGATGGTTGCATTTTTCCTAAGCAATCCTTCATAAAAATAATGTTACTTATATAAGGATAACTTTTTTTGTAATAGTTCGTTTTTCATAAAATTTTCACCATTTTAATATAAATTCAAAGCTCTTTCGAACCATGTATGATACTTAAATGAATAAATGGTTTAAAATTTTTACACACGTACCTGTATATATATATATATATATATATATATATATATATATATATATATATATATATATATATATATATATATATATATATATATATATATATATATATATATATATATATATATATATGTATGTATATATATATATATATATATATATATATATATATATGTATGTATATATATATATATATATGTATGTATATATATAAATATATATATATATATATATATATGTATGTATATATATATATATATATATATATATATATATATATATATATATATATATATATATATATATATATATATATATATATATATATATATATATATATATATATATATATATATATATATAGTCAGAAAAATAGTAAATAACAAAATAATTAATGAAATTGCTCTTATATAAGGAAATAGTCATAACAGTTTATAAGGAAATAGTCATATATATAAGTCAGATATATAAGGAAATAGTCATAACAGTAAAAACAAATTTTTATATGGAAAAAAAGTTAAAGCAATGACCAGAAAAATATCATACATATAGAACATATTTATTTGAAGTTTAAAAAAAATTATTGAAATCCTACAGTCAGATTTTAAGAAAATTGATTTCAAATAAATAAACAAATCTTTGATTTACACTAAAAAAGTATTAAGTAAAAATACAGTTTTAGCGCGCAAAGATTTTTGTTACCCTTATTTATTTATATTCTTGTGAAATTTTTGTATTATTTTATTGATTTACTTTGAAAATAAGGCTATATCATTGGCTTATCAGAAATTAATTAACAAATAAACTGTTGCCATATAAAATATTCTCTATAGTTAAGAACCGTAGCCATTTTAAAAGTTCAAAAGTATTTTGTATTTTTTTACGCATGCGTACCTAAACATAGCGCTTTTTACTAAATCTAAACGACAAGTAGAACAATGGGATAAAGTATACTCATCAACAGATCCTAACATTGCGTTTGACCATTTTTCAAATACATTGCAAAATATGCCCGAAAATAACTACAGAAATAAAAAACAAAGAATTTAAGAATCCATGGATGAAAATAACTTTAATTAAAGCATCAAAAAGAAAACAAAAACTTTACGTAAAATTTTTGAAATCAAAAAATAAAGTAGATGAAAAAATATACAAAAATTATAAAAAGTTTTTTCAACATAGAATGAAAGAAGAAATAATAAGGTATTTTTCTAATCAGCTTGACAAGCATAAATTCGACATAAAAAGGACTTGGGTTGTTATAAACGAACTAACAGGAAGCGAGAAAAAGAAGCGCACTTGCTAACCACAAAAACTAATTTCCGATAAAAAAAAATTATAACAAGTACAACAAAAATATGCCAAGAATTTTACAAATATTTTTTTAATGTAGGCCCCTGTTTTGCTTTTAACATTGTGCAACCAAATAAAATATTTGATAATTTTTTGGGAGAAAAACCTACCACTAGTATAAATAATGAAAAGATAACTAAAATTGAATTTAATAAAGCAATTTTTGAACTTAAACGCAACAAGTCATGTGGATATGATGGTATTTCCAGTAATGTAGCAATTTATATAATGGACAGCATTAGTAAACCATTATTTTATTTAACATCATCTTCATTTGAAAATAGTATATTTTCTAACAAACTTAAATTAGCCAAAATTAATCCAATTCTCAAAAAAGGTGATCGCAATAATGTTTCCAACTACCGACCTATTTCTTTTCTTCCAGTACTTTCAAAAATATTTGAGAGAATAATATATAACAGAGTTAACAATTACTTTACATTAAACAATTTATTATACAAAATTCAGTTTGGATTTCAAAGTAGGTGTTCTACTGAACATGCTATTATTAAACTTGCTGACAAAATATTCAAGTCGTTTGATAGTGATGAGCTGGTATTAGGAGTTTTTATTGATCTTTCCAAGGCCTTTGATACGGTTGATCACAGTGTTTTACTTTCCAAGCTAAAATACTATGGTATAATGGGCTCAACATTTAAGTTGATTCAAAGCTATTTGTCTAACAGAAAGCAGTTTGTATTACTAGAAAAGTCAGGAGCCCTCGATATTACGTGTGGAGTTCCTCAGGGTTTAATCCTAGGTCCATTTTTGTTCTTAATTTATATTAACGATATGCATAAAGCATCCAAAAAAATATCTACAATTATGTATGCTGACAATACAAATTTATTTTTTAATCATCCTAATGCAAAAACTTTGTTTGAAACTATGAATATTGAACTTGAAAAATTCAACCTCTGGTTCATAGCAAATAAATTATCCCTAAATTGTCAAAAAACTAGTTTTACCCTTTTTCATAAAAAAAAACAATCAATTAATCTTCTTTTAAAGCTTCCTAACCTGCTTATTAATAAAAATGAAATCAAACGTGAAAAATGCAGAAAATTTTTGGGAGTGCTTTTTGATGAAAATTTGTCAAGGAGAAACCATATTGGTCTCGTTGAAACAAAAATGTCCTCTGTAATAGGCGTTTTGTATAAGTCGAGACCTTTTCTCGATAGTAAATTGCGTAATATGCTTTACTTTAGTCTTGTACATAGTCAACTTTTGTACGCAAATATTGTATGGGCCAGCACCCATAAAACAAAACTGCTAAAATTGCCAAGCCTGCAAAACCATGCATGCAAAGTAATAAACTAATTAAATAGATTAGTAAACCCGGCCCCAGTGATGAAAAGCATGGTGGTTCTAGATATTGAGAAGCTTAACACATTACAGGTATTAATTTTTATGTATAAGTATAAGAACAACCTCCTACCAAGCAGAACAACCTCGTACCTAGCGTACCAAGCGTTTTTCAGATACTTTCTTAATATCGTTTTCTGAAAAATATAATTTGCGTTTAAATACCAGGTACAACTATCACTTAGGGAAAGTTAATTCACATCAGTCAAATTTTTTAACTACAAACTGTGGCCCATCAACATGGAATCAAGTTCAAAATAAAAATATTAAAAACCTAAAAAGCATTTCATCGTTTAAACGGGAAACTAAAATGCATCTTTTTAAATCCTGACATTTTTTTTTTTAATTTACAGTATTTGTTTTTATTTTTGTTTTTTTTTTTCGTCTTCTTATTTTTCTTGTTTTTATTATTTTTTGATTTTGAATTTGTTACACCAAAAAAATATGAGCTTTGTTTTTATTGAATTTTTATTTTATTTTTAAAAAATAAATTGTCTTTATAATGAGTGACTATAGGGGCTCTATGAAAAGGTTGTGATGTTAAACACATCATCCTTACCTTCTTTGAGTCCCTGACTGATTAGAAAAGAATATACATAATATAAAATAAAAAATTATGAAAAAACGTTTTTTTATCATGTTTATCTTTACGACGTGTATTTTATGTATTTTTTACATGATTATATGAAAATTGTTATTGTAACTGTTTAATCAGCAAAATAAAAATATATATAATAATAAATAATAAAAAAAATTTTATAAAAAAACAAATGATATATGTTCTGACTTTATTTTCTATTAAACAAAATATACTTAAAATACTATTATATAACCCTAATTTAATGCTAAAGATTAAATGTTTTTGCAATTTTTCGAAAAAAATAATTTTTAGCGGACGTTTCGGATCAAGTTTTGATAAATTTTTGTATTTTTTAAAAAAAGCATTTGGGAGAAAAACAATAAAAAATAACCGCCGTGGTAAGTCAGCAAATGTAGATTTTTAGAACAGTCACGTGGTAAATTAAAAAAAACGGGGCTCTCTACTTGTTACCTACTTGTGCCGGCCCTGTAAGCTACAGTATATTACAATAATTCGTTTTTATCATGAGCCACTTTTTTGTATCCGATTTATATAAGTTATTTATAAAAATATATTTAAAATGCGTTAGAGAATTTTTGTCGGAATTTTATTTGACAAAAAAAGT